TTGAAACTCACTGACTTGGTTTATTCCCTTCTTTGATTTTCAAACTTCATTGTAATCTGAGTTCTTTAAGAGCTCCCAACATAAAAGTTAGGTTACACTTTGAAAATGTCACTGAATACAGAGATGATCAGTGATCAAGTCCATCCAATCCAACTATGTAGACATAGACATAGACATAGACAACTTTACTGTCATTTTGTGTGTACGGAGTGCACACAAAACAAAATTTCATTTGCATACAGCTTTAGACAAGAAAAGGATTCATTAATTTAGAAGTCTAATGGCAACAGGGAAAAAGCTGTTGTATAGCCTTGTGGACCTGCAGCGGATGCTGCGGAACCTCTTCCCAGAGGGCAACAGGGAGAACACATCATGGTGGGGGTGTGAGGGGTCTGCGATGATTTTACGGGCTCTGGACACGCAGCGCTGGGGTGAGATGTCCTCAATGGAGGGAAGAGGAGCCCCGATGATCTTCTCTGCTGTCCTCACCACCCTCTTCACGTTCCTCCAGTCGGAGGCACTGCAGCCTCCACCCCACACAGAGAGACAGCTGGTCAAAATGCTCTCTATGGTGCATTGGTAGAAGGTCGTGAGGATGGGCGGGGGCAGGTGGGCTCTTCTCATCCTTCTCAGGAAGTACAAGCGCTTCTGTGCCCTCTTCACCAGGGATGTGGTGTTCACAGACCAGGTGAGGTTGTCTGTGATGTGCACCCCCAGGAATTTGGTGCTGCTGACCACCTCCACAGCTGAGCTGTTGATGAACATGATGAGGCCGGTACTTCCTGAAGTCAACGATGATCTCTTTCGTCTTCTCCACGTTCAGTATCAGGCTGTTGTTTCTGCACCAGCCCACCAGCTGCTCCACCTCCTCTCTGTAGTCCCGGTCATTGTCGTCTCTGATCAGGCCCACCACCGTTGTGTCGTCTGCAAACTTCACGATGTGATTGGTGGTGAACCTGGGGGCGCAGTCATGTGTCATCAGAGTGAACAGCAGGGGGCTCAGGACGCAGCCCTGAGGGGAGCCCATGCTGAGGGTGATGACATCGGATGTTTTTTGTCCGACCCGGACTGACTGAGGTCTGTTGGTGAGGAAGTCTAGTAGCCAGTTGCGAAGAGGTGTGCTAAAGCCTAGGTGTTCCAGTTTTTCCACCAGATGCTGTGGGATGATGGTGTTGAACGCTGAACTGAAGTCCAGGAACAGCATCCGCACGTGGGTGTTCTTTTCCTCCAAGTGTGTCAGGCTCAGGTGAAGAGCGGAGGAGATGGCGTCCTCAGTGGAGCGGTTTCGCCGGTAGGCAAACTGGAATGGGTCAAATGTTGGGGGGAGACTGGAAAGGATGTGATCTTTCACAAGCCTTTCAAAGCACTTCATGATGATGGGAGTCAGTGCAACGGGCCGGTAGTCATTGAAACAGGTGACTTGAGGTTTCTTTGGCAGTGGAATGATGGAGGCAGACTTAAAGCATGCTGGCACTGTGGCCTGGTCCAGCGAGGTGTTAAAAATGTCTGTGAGGACACCAGCTAGCTGACCTGCACACTCCTTGAGCACCCGCCCAGGTATGTTGTCGGGACCTGGGGCCTTCCGCGGGTTGACTCTTCTCAGAGTTTTCCACACGTCGGCTGTGTCAAGGCAGAGTGCCTCCTCTTCCTGATGGGGAACAGCCTTCATTGCTGGAGTGCTGTTTAGTGCCTCAAACCTCCCGAAGAAGTTATTTAGTCCATTGAGGAAGTCAGCATCAACTTCACCCACCGGGGGGGAGGGCGTGTTGTAATCAGTGATCGCCCGTATGCCTTGCCACATGCGTCTGGTGTTACTGGCGTCGTGGAAAAGATCCTGGATTTTTTTTACTGTGGGTCCGCTTCGCTAACCTGATTGCACGGTTCAAGTTGGCTCTCGCTGTTCTCAGAGCCTCCTTGTCACCGGACTTGAAGGCTGAGTTCCGTGCTTTTAGCGCTTGGCAAACCTCCCCAGTCATCCAGGGTCGTTGGTTGGCTCGGGTGATGATGTTCTTTGTGGTGCTGACGTCCTCGATGCACTTGTTGATGTAGGCTGACACAGTCATAGCATACTCATCAAGGTTTATCATGTTATCATATGTTGCTGCAGCTTTGAACATGTCCCAGTCAGAGCACTCAAAACAGGCCTGGAGGGCCTCCATGGCCCCCTCAGTCCACACCCTCACCTGCCTCACTGTAAGTTTAGCTCTGATCAGCAGGGGCCTGTATGTAGGAATTAGCATTACAGAGAGGTGGTCTGAAGAGCCGAGGTGGGGGCGTGGGGCAGCTCTGAATGGGTCTTTTATATTTGTATAAACCAAGTCTAGAGTGTTCTCTCCTCGAGTTGCAAAATCCACGTGTTGGTAGAAATGAGGGAGAACAGTTTTCATACTGGCCTGGTTAAAGTCCCCTGCAATGATGAAAACACCCTCAGTGTGTGCAGATATGTAAACACACAGCCCGCCCCCTCGGGACTTGCCGCTAAGACAGCTGTTTCTGTCTGCACGGAAAGTAGCGAGCCCCTCCAGTCTAACGGCGTTATCCGGAATTGATGAATTAAGCCATGTCTCTGTCAGGATGAGAGCACAACAGTTTCCAAGTTCCCTCTTTGAAGAAAGCTCAAGTTGTAAGTGGTCAATTTTGTTATCCAGTGAGCGGACGTTGGAGAGCAGGATGGATGGAAGCGGCGTTCTGTAGGGGTTAGCTTTTAGTTTAGTTGTTAATCCACCGCGACAGCCGCGCTTCCGTCGCCGGTCACACCGCTTGCTCCTCCTCCGGCGTGTGGTACTCCACGAGTTGTGGGCCTCTGGGATTTGTGATCGAAGCGGTCCGAAGTCGCGTAAACAATCAAGCGTAGCTGTAGTTACGAGTCCAAAAACACTGTATGACCGTAACTCCAGCAGCCGTTGGTGGTCAAGTACTGATCTACCGGGTCGATGAGTGGGTTGTAGTATGTTTTGAGGCATATTTTTGTTTAAAAAAATAATAATATGATAGAAAATAATGATAATTAGTAATAAAAAATAAGTAATAATTAAAAAAATTTAGAAAATGCCGCAAGTTGTCAGGAGCTGTATACAGCCGCAGCCTCTCAGGGCGCTGCCATGGTAACTGCTACTTTTTGGAGTAGAAATGGCTGAATATTTAGGGATTTTAAACCCCCATCAGGTGTGAAAAAATCCATCTATTTGTACAAGCTACGACTAAAAACCTTTTCAGATAGTTTTCCTGAAATGCCACCGACACTTGGTTATATTTCCTTGAAATGTGTGATGTTGATGTAAACCTGACTGTAAAGCCTATCAATGCAGTGTTTGAAAGGGCAGGGAATCCTTTTTCTCAGACTTTAAGATGAGCAAAATTACTCCTCATGTCCTTATTTAATACCATGTCATTTCCCTCTGGGATGAACGCAGATATAAATGTACTAAACTGCTGAATCCAGACAAAACATCTGACATGCAACAATTCTCCCACGTGTGCACAAGTAAAATGTTACCAGATACGGACACGAGTCATTTTGCTAATCTGAGAGAAGTTTGAGAAAAAAGGGATCCCAGCCCTCAGGTGGGTTTTTTCGTGATGCAGCAGTTTGATACATTTATATCTGTGTTCCCAATTTATCAGCTCCAAGACACATTCAAGACTTTCTATCGAAACTGGAAGTGATTACTTGAATAGATTAAAGAATTTTCCTGTATTTATCCCAGAGGGAAATGAAATGTTATCAAATAAGGACAAGGAGCCAGCCATTACTGCAGCTCTACGGGACCTTTTGTTTTGCGTAACGTGGTGCGTAAAAATTTGGAGGATGACAGAAATATACATTTCTCCTCTCTGTAAAACAATTAAACTAGATAAGACCTAAAAGCACTCGAATATGTACATTTCTCTGAAAAGGAAGGGCTCTTGAATGGGGTTCGGTGGCTCTTAAAAGAGCCTTTTTTTGTTGCGCTTGCACAGCCCGGACGGCTTAAGCCCTCTCCCCGCGGATGCGGCGGGCCAGCTGGATGTCTTTGGGCATGATGGTGACCCTCTTGGCGTGGATGGCGCACAGGTTGGTGTCCTCGAACAGCCCCACCAGGGTAGGCCTCGCTGGCCTCCTGCAGGGCCATGACGGCGGAGCTCTGGAAGCGCAGGTCGGTCTTGAAGTCCTGCGCGATCTCCCTGACCAGCCGCTGGAAGGGCAGCTTGCGGATGAGCAGCTCGGTGGACTTCTGGTAGCGGCGGATCTCCCTCAGGGCCACGGTGCCCGGCCGGTACCTGTGGGGCTTCTTCACGCCGCCGGTGGCCGGCGCGCTCTTGCGGGCCGCCTTGGTGGCCAGCTGCTTCCTGGGGGCCTTGCCTCCGGCGGGTGGACTTACGGGCGGTCTGCTTGGTCCTGGCCATTGTCTGTTGCTTCTACTTTCTCCCTAAAAGTGGATATGACCGTTGCAGGGCGAAAGGACCGGGTTTAAATCCGGCGGAGTCGTGACGCAGCGTCAGGGGCCTCCGGGCTCCTGATTGGAGAGCGGCTCCCCTCCAGCGGCCCCTCCTGCAGCCGGGCCCCGCCTAGAGGAGCCCAGCTCCCGCCTAGAGGAGCCCAGAATCCCGCCTAGAGGAGCCCAGAATCCCGCCCGAAGGAGCAATGCGCATTGGAGGAGAGCCCCACCTCAAAGTTTGCGCGCAAATTCAAAGCTGTGCGAACCCCAAAAAGGGCAATTCATAATAATATTAGTTTTAAAGTTAAAACAAGTAAAGCCGAGGGAAAGAGTATGGTTAAAGAAAAACTGATGGAAAAAAGGCAAAAAAAAAAGGTGGGATGAAGAAAAAACAGGAAGATGGTTTTATAAAATACAGAAGATAGTAGGAGAGAAAAGAAATGAAAGAAGAAATAGAAAGGAAGGAAGGGTGATAACAACATTAAGATTAGGGCATACAGGTCTTAATTATACACTTTTTAAATTACAAAAGCATAATAATGGAAAGTGTGATTATATATCTATATATCTATATAGATATATATATATCTATATGAAAAGGCAGATAAATTAGCTAAAAGGGCTTTAGAGGGGGGAAATAACAATTTCAATTCATTTTGGGAAAGGGGAAGGGAAATCACTTATTAAAAGTAAAGAAATGGAGGAATAGCCAAAAATATGGAATGAAGATAAAAAGGAAGAAGATTATATGAAGTGGAAAAGTCAGTTCGAATTCGAAGCATTAACGAAAGAAACAGAAGAGAAGAAATAATAATTAGTAGATTAAGAATAGGTTATACCTACTTAAATGACATGCTTTATTTAATAGGGAGGAAAGATAGTGATAAATGTGAGAGATGTGGAGAAAAAAGAAAATGTAGAACATATACTGATGAACTGTAAGTCATACGAACTCGAAAGGGAAGAATTAAAGAGAATAGTTAGAAGTATAGGGCATGAATGGAATCTTAAAAGTATATTAGGAAATGAAGGAAACATAATAGATTTTCATAAATTAAGGAAAGCATTGTTTATCTACCTTAAGAATACAAAATTAAAAAATAGAATCTAATAGATGTGAAGGAACGCTGCTACACACTCATGTACAGTAGGTGGCGGTATGCACCTTAAAGTTGCTTGTGATCCGCCATAATAGAAAAGAAGAAGAACAAGAATATCCTTTGTACAGTATTCAAAGAAAAGTTGGTGCAATGAGGAGAACGGGACGAAATAGAAAAGAGGAAACGGTTATATCTAGGTTGCGTTTTGGACATACAAGGTTAAACAGTAATTTATTTAAAATAGGAAAACATCGAACTGAAAGTTGTGATTTTTGTGGTCAAGAAGAGACGGTAAAGCATGTTTTGTCGTTCTGTACAAAATATTCTGTTGAGAGAAGGAAATTAGTTAGTCGGTTACAAGAAAATAAATTACAGTTAAATTTACGAGATAATTTAGATAAAAATTCTACTTCTAAAGATATAAGTTATATAATTAATTATCTCAAGAAAACAAAATTGATAGAAAAGATATAAGTGTTTTTTTGTTTGTTTTCTTTTGCTTTGAAGGGGGTATTTAAAGTTAGCATCCCGATCCACACTCCTTTCCAGTAGATGGCGGTAATGCACATCTAAAAGTTGCTTGCCAACCGCCATAAAAAAAGAAGAAGAAGAAGAAGATCCTTCCCGCGCTCTCAGAGATATAAAGGAGGGAGTGAACGATCTCAGACACATTTTCTCTGAGTTCTAACTCAAGCAATACAACCGGAAACATGAGTGGAAGAGGCAAAACCGGCGGAAAGGCCAGAGCCAAGGCCAAGACCCGCTCCTCCCGTGCGGGGCTCCAGTTCCCCGTGGGCCGCGTGCACAGGCTGCTGCGTAAAGGAAACTACGCGGAGCGCGTCGGGGCCGGAGCCCCCGTGTACCTGGCGGCCGTCCTGGAGTACCTGACCGCCGAGATCCTGGAGCTGGCCGGCAACGCGGCCCGCGACAACAAGAAGACTAGGATCATCCCGCGCCACCTGCAGCTGGCCGTGCGCAACGACGAGGAGCTCAACAAGCTGCTGGGGGGGGTCACCATCGCCCAGGGCGGCGTGCTGCCCAACATCCAGGCCGTGCTGCTGCCCAAGAAGACCGAGAAGCCCGCCAAGTCCAAGTAAAAAAACAAACTGGCCCAGGCTACCGGACACCCAAACGGCTCTTTTAAGAGCCACACACTTCTCACAAAGAGTTATGATCCTCTGTTCCCCCCCCAAAAAAAATCAGTGCACCACTGTGGTCAGTCTGACCTGTTTTCAGACCCAGGGCCTCAGTAACAATTCTTCTAGTGGTAGCTTTGATATCATGCATGTTTTCATGTTGTCCAAAGCATTTGTTTAGGTCCTAATGTTTAGTTTAAGACTATCAGTTCTTCACGAGGTCCTTTTTTAAAGATAGCAGGAGAGAAAAAACTGATAGAGCAGCAGTCAGTTCAGTTCAGACTCTTCTGTGCACACAAACACACCAGGAGCTGCTCATGTTTGTCTTCCATCACTCTGCTATAGACACTTTTTCCTATCAGTAGCATTGAGGACAAACAATAGGATCCATTAACAGTGTAGATGTGGTCTTGAGGGAAAACCAGGTCTTCCAGGTCTATATTTACACTCATTCTCTGGAATTAAATGTTCAACGGGAGCATTTTCTCCCACTTAGTGCTGATGTGAAGTGACAGAAAATGTTAAATGAATCAATGTCTCCGATTAAAACTACGGGACCCTTTCAAGGAACATTTTACAAATAGATGTTTCATTCCCACTGGGACAAAGAGCCCCAAAATCTGGGTGTAATAGACATTACAGTAGGAAGACTGGACGCAGACGAGCGTTATCGGCCAGCTAGCCCTGACACAAACAGGCCAGAGATGCTCCGAATTCATGCAGATTTCACTGGAATGTGTTAAAGTGTATGTGTGTTCACAATAAAAGTGTATTTCTAACTTAACAGAGAACGAGTGAGAATCTGTGGGCACAGCCAGAGTTTAACAAACACGGTATAGTTCTAAAAGGAATAAGTAATCAGTCATTGGCATGGATTATGTCATAGCATACAAAGTTAAAGTAACCAACTAGAGCCCAATTATGACTCATTATGCTATACTAATGAAGGAGCCCACCAGAAATTCTATGTACGTCTTAGAAGCTAAGCTTGCACAAACAAAACACACATAGCAGCACCCCTGTATCTTAGTTAACTAATTGGAAAAAAAAACCCTTCACTTGCTTATCAAACGGGCTAAATTAGTCATATATATATATATATATATATATATATAGTCAGTTTTATCTTCCCGTTTTTTCATTCAATTGACTGGTTAAACTTCTTTTGCTGTGATTTTACAGCTTATTTTTGGCTTTTGAATTTGCCTTGACACCTCTGGGCCACCGTAGTTAGTACGTTAGTCATTACGTAACATTAATCTACATTTTCCCCACATAGCGGTACGAGTACAAATGAATGATAAAGGGCCAGTGGAGGTTTGCTCTCAGATAAAGTGGTGGCCCTGAAAAGGGCCTTTGTTGTTGTTGTTGTTCCGGGTGGTCTGTGGGCTTTAGCCTCCGAAGCCGTAGAGTGTGCGGCCCTGCCTCTTGAGGGCGTAGACCACGTCCATGGCGGTGACCGTTTTCCTCTTGGCGTGCTCGGTATAGGTGACGGCGTCCCGGATGACGTTCTCCAGGAAGACCTTGAGCACCCCGCGGGTCTCCTCGTAGATGAGTCCGGAGATACGCTTCACTCCGCCGCGGCGGGCCAGACGGCGGATGGCGGGCTTGGTGATTCCCTGGATGTTATCACGGAGGACTTTCCTGTGACGCTTAGCGCCTCCTTTTCCGAGCCCCTTTCCTCCTTTGCCTCTTCCGCTCATGTTCGCTGCTGAGTAGACAGTGAGTGTCTAGCTCGGGCTGTTACCGTGGCTCAGTTTGATTCCTTACTGAGGACGTGTTAGAGGACAGGGGCGGGCTTATTCTTCTTCTTCTCCTCCTGATGTTCTCTGTGAGCAGCGCCGCCTTCAGCTCTGCTCTGGAGTCACATGTAAAGTCTTCCCCTCTACGAGTGAAACACGGAGCAGCCACATGTGACCGCAGCACAAAATAAGGACACTCCTAAATCCAAAAAGCAGACGATATTTTTTTGCAGAGGGTGGAAATAACTTCTTTTTATTACAAAAGTTTACCCCCCCAAAAAAATAACGTATGGGCGCACGTTAGATCGACGTTATAACTCTAAACATAACATCCCATCAATCAATTTTTCACAAAACCCCAACAAGAAAATAAACCAACCCATACGGAGAAGAAATAGAAAGAAAAATATTCAAAGATGAAACTTTGAGTTTATGTTTCATGTATTGTGCATCATATAAACAATATAAAGAGTATATGATTTACTCCTGAAAGTGGCCACTTTTATATTACTGTCATGTATTATTCTAATTAATATCCAAATCATACAAGAATAATTTTGTTCAAATGTACTATGGATCTTTATTTCACTGTTGTATGCTTTACATACACGTTTCAGACAAATGAGATAACAAAATAATATGTATGTGTATCTTTTCCGTATAGGAAATTATAGCAGACAAATATCTAGAAAAACACACATTTGATAATCAAAGAGGTGTTTAGAAAAAATTGAGCACCATTACAAAATCCTACTGACATTATCCCCAACATGTTGTCCCCACCTGCTTAATGAAGACTTGGACCTTTAAAGCAGTTTCCCAGAAAAAATACACTCATTTAGCCCAAACACTCAACAGCTAGGACACTGAGATTGGAAATTCAATCATTCCTGTCCATTCCTGTTGAAAAGTAGTTCTTAAATTTCACCCAAACAGGAACTGGCTCCCACTTGGGTGACCAGGGTTTGGTGAGGTTAAGGGCTGCTTCCCTGAGTTCCTACACCTTTGAATCCCATATATTCCAGCACATGGTTATCTGGTTTATCTTTTTCTCATATACTGTATTATCTTTTAAATTTCTGCCTTTTTTCCCCATTGCTATACCCTTTTCTGTGTCCAACAGGACACAGAATCAATAGGTTTAAAATACTTTAAACAGGTTGAATAGGTGAAAGTTGGGCATCAGGTAGCTTCATATTCAAAAAGCTGCCTTAGTAAATAAAATGTGTTATGAACATGGCAGTCAGAGTAGCATTCTGCTTGGCCTGATGCCAGACAGGTAAAGGGGGGACATAAGGACTGCACACCTACATCAAGCGGAGACACCTTCTTTTGATTGAAGAACAACATACAAACCAAGGAGTTGTGAATAAAATCAAACACAAATATTTTATTCAAAATGTATCTGCTCTTATGAACAAAAAAGCAAACACTTTGTTCCCACCGTAACACTCGACCCCAGGCATAACTTCACATAATTTCTCAGAATAATGGCACATTAACCACTCGTGTAAGAAGAATCTGAAAATATTGTAAAGAAAATGCTTGTTTTCATGTCTTGTATTCAGCTCTTGCACGGGCAGCTTCTCTCTCCTCCTCAGACGTTCATCGACAACATGAGGAACTGGAAAGAAGAAGAATGAAATCCATTTGAAATTAAAGAAAGGGAGAGTTCTGAATAGGTTGGCAGAAGACAGAATCTAAGGCAGTTAGAAATGATGTAAGAAATGGTTCATTTGGGTTAATGGGACGCAGCAAATGAACCACTGAACCTTATTGGCACATTTCTTTGGACTTGAATCATAAAAGTAGTTTTACCTGCATCATGTTCATGTTCACCCGCCCCCGGTTGAACTTGTCTACGGCCTGGAAAACCCCTGGAAAACACATTGGTGGTTAACTAAATA